TGCTGCTTAAGTAGTGTGGTCTTCAGATGAGCTGATGACTCCCAGGTGTGCTGAGAGCTCCAGCTCAGGAATCCCACAGCGCTCTCTGCTGGCGACAGGTGGCAGATCTCCAGATCCCAACATAGCCCCTCTAATGAAATTAGAGAACATAATGAAGATTATGTTGTGTTTTAGGATTATTCAAAATTATTTTCAACTGTCATTAAAGTTGTCGGAGGATTGCTTCAAGGCTATTGATATCAGCCCTAAAGGCTTAGTGAGATGTTTGGAAACATTTAACCCTATAGCACCAGCTGTGGTTCTGCAATTATTTTGAATTAGAACATCATGACCATTACACAGAGAAGAGTCAAAACTGCCATTTTAAATACTTTTATATAAAAACTGAATCCTTGACCATTATCTTGATGATAAATTGTACTTAATAAAGGTATTGTGGACTCCACTTTAAAAAAAATGTACATGCACAAGCAGGGGGGCTGCCAGGAAATTTGGGGCCCTGTGAAAGACATTGATATTGCCCAACCACCCCAGTATGAACAAACTGGAGCCTTAAACTGACTTAAATTGAACTGGTAACTTCTGGGACTCAAATGTTCTCTGGAGAAAAAAAAAACAACTTAAAGCTACAGTGTGTAATTTTCAGCGACATCTAACGTCCAGACTGCAGACCGCAGCAACATGAACATCTCCCCCCCACCGCTTCTCCCCCCCAACAGTACGGCGAGCGTTACGGGACAAAATGTCTTCCACGACGTCCGCATCACCTACCTTCTCAAGTGATGAGGTTTGTTTACATAGATAATTTTACAGATAGTATTTCATTAGTCTGTGTAGGGTATAGATTTCAGTACCGTCTCAGTTCATCTCTCTCAACTTGCCGTAGTTACTTTCGAGCGTAATGGGCGATCTCGCAATCGCTAGTTTGTTGGCTCTGCGCTGCCGTAGCGCAAAGATGTCTGCCTCCATGGCTGCGAGACACGCTCCTATGTAATTATAAATAACGAATTCTAAGGCAACGCAAATATTAAGGTTAAGAGGCTGAGCTTGTAGATGATGATAAATAACATAGTTATGTATAATATATTACATTTCTGACTGTATATCCCTGTAATTATTACACACTGTAGCTTTAATGGTTAGATAAGTTAAACATCAAGGTATCTTCCTCAGGGACTGAAAGAATGATCAAAGGAGACAAAGTAAGGATGTTAAACCCCAAAACATTTCACTGACTGTCAAGCACAGTGGTGGCATTATGATGCTAAGGGTATATTACACTCCTGATCAAAATCTTAAGACCAGTCAAAAAATTGCAAGAATTTGCATTTTGCATTATTGGATCTTAAGCAGGTTTCAAAGTAGAGCTTCACAATGTTAAAGGAAAAAATCAGTGCAAGAGACAAGAACTTTTGAGCAGAGAATTTTCTGAAAACTGCATTTACACTCAAACAATATTTTTTCAGCTGTTCAAAAGTTTAAGACCATAGTCTTTAAAAGCCAAAAGCTGTGCAAAAATCTGGATTCCATGTCATTTTCTGTCAAGGCTTTACACTGTCAAGACCTCCTGTTGGCAAAAGCAAAAAAGCTCACTGACTTTGAACGTGGTAGGATTGTTGAGCTGCATAAGCAAGGCCTCTCACAACGTGCGGTCGCTGCTGAGGTTGGACAGTAAGACATTCATTTTGCATTTTTTAAATGATCCTGAGGGTTATGGAACAAAAAAGTCAAGTGGTAGACCCAAAAAATTTACACCAGCTCTGGCACAGGACGATCCTCTACCCAAATTAAGGCCATTACTGGTGCTGACTGCAGCCCAATAACCATCAGACGGCATCTGCAAGAGAAGAGCTTCAGAAACAAAAAACGTCTTCAAAGGCCACGTCTTCTTCAATGCCACAAAATTGCCCGTTTGGACTTTGCAAGGGTGCACCAAACATGGGACATTGAAAGGTGGAAGAAAGTTGTCTTCTCTGATGAGAAAAAAATTAACCTTGATGGTCCTGATGGCTTCCAACGTTACTGGCATGACAAGGAGATCCCATCTGAGATGTTTTTTACACGGCACAGTGGTGGGGGCGCCATCAAGATTTGGGGTGCGTTTTCCTTCAATGGAGCAGCAACGGAGCTTCAGGTTGTGCAGGGGCATCAAACAGCAGTTGGCTATGTGCAGATGTTGCAGCGGGCATCCCTCATGACTGAGGGCCCTCGACTGTGTGGTAATGATTGGGTTTTTCAACAGGACAATGCCCACCTGACAAAGGAATTCTTCCAAGAGAATAACTTCACTCTTTTGGACCATCCTGCATGTTCCCTGGATCTAAACCCATTTGAGAACATTTGGGGATGGATGGCAAGGGAAGTTTACAAAAATAGACATCAGTTCCAGACAGTGGATACCCTTCGTGAAGCCATCTTCATCACTTGGAGCAACGTTCCCACTAGCCTCCTTGAAACACTGCCATCAAGCATGCCTAAACGATTGTTTGAAGTCATCAACAAGAATGGTGGAGCTACGTACTCATTACTGAGCCCTTTTTTTGACACTTTGATTTCCGTTTTGGGGGGTTTTCGGTTTTTTTGAGCTATGGTCTTAAACTTTTGAGCAGCTGAAAAAATCATGTTTTTAAGTGTAAATGCAGTTTTCAATTAATTCCCCGCTCAAAAGTTTTTGTCTCTTACGCTGATTTCTTCTTTTAACATTGTGAAGCTCTACTTAGAACCTTCTTTAAATCCAATAGTGCAAAATGCAAATTCTTGCAATTTTTTAACTGGTCTTAAGATTGTGATAAGGAGTGTAGTTATAAAATGTGTGGGCATATTTCACAAAATGGTTAAAATAATTGACAGAGATTGCATCCAAATAAATCCTATCACCTCAAATCTACAGCTAGGGTTTTTAATGTGGGCCAATAAAGTAGACTACCTTTAAGCTTCTGGAATTTTTGGGATTTTGATTTTAACACCATGGACTAAGTTTAGAGAAATGTTTAATTCTAGGAGACTAACTAAATTAAATAAGTGTTCTATTCAGGAATATTTATTTATTTTTTTTTATCTTTTCCTCTCAGTAAGACAATGATTTTATCCACATGACAATGAAATTTACGGGGAAAAAAAAAATTGAAATGGCCAATAGTTGGTTGGAAAAAACCTCAAGACATCAAAGTCACAGGGAGAAGGACCAGAACATTGACAAAGCAGTTATCCCATAACTGATGTAGTCTGTGTTTATGATTTCCTACCAGTAATTTTTCTTGTTGGATAGTGGGAATTAAACAGAATCACAGGCTCTATCAGAATACCTGAAAGTGATAAGGACAGCTAAGAGAACTGTACAGCTGCAGTCCACTCTTTGTAAATCTTCCCCATATTTTTAAATGGGTCTAGTTTTACAATCCTCTCCAGGGTGCGGTCGTCATTATTAGTGGTACAGTTTTTTTCTCATGCCTCTCTATTGATGTGCTGGGGCATAGAGGTCTGTCAACAGCCAGCCTCTATAGCAATACCTTCCATGTCTTGCCAGTCTTGTCAGCAGTCGTCTTTTGGACATCTGTCAAATCAGTAGTCTTCCTCATGCTTGTGTAAAATACAGAGCTAGACTGAGAGGCCCTTCGAAGGCCTTTGCAGGTGTTTTGAGTTAATTAATTAGCTGATTAGAGTGTGGCACCAGGTGTCTTGCCAGACCTTTTTATAATTTTGCAATTTTCTGAGATGCTGAATTTTGGGGTTTTCATTAGTTTAATTTATATTCATCAAAATAGAAAATTTCAAGCTGATCATAGCAACTCAATCCGCTCATTCCTTGAAACCTGTTCTGCTGTCTAACTGTTACAGCCAGTCAGGACCAGACTGTCAAAAGCCATTGAGAAGCAGTCCAGTGTTCTTTGTTTGCTTGATGTTTGAATTTCTCAGTTTGGCCTTGGCTAGTTCTGGACCTTTTTTTGTGTTTTTTTGTTGTTGTTTTTTTAAACGATGATTCTATTTCTTCCCTTAGGACCTCTTTAGCCCTCCTCCAGTCTATCCTTGCTCTTCTTGTCTGGCTCAACTATCTGGGACTTCTTTTCAATTGGTCACAAATGTAGGAAGAATGATTTGTTATTAACCTCCACCTTTTTTCAAGGTGTTATTTTTCCCAAAATATTATGCAAATGAAAGACAGATTAACAGTATACCTGTTATTATGGACAGCAAAACAAACTACCATGAGCGACTGATCAGAAATAGGATCACATACCCAGTGTAATTCTGTCCCAGTTGCAAATAGAAAAACAGTGGAGAAGGATAAAAAAGGGTGGGAAAGGCCTGGACCTGTTTTTCCTTTGTGGTCTTTCTTAATTTGTTCAGTGTGCTCCCTCTTGTGTTTTCCACAAATTTCCCATCATTGAAACGAACCAGTAAAAAATAATCACAAGTCAGGTAAAATCTAAACTAATTTGGGCAGATTCTTAAGTCTTTTCTCTTTATATACAGTACTGTAGCAAAACAGGGAATTCAGTCATTCAAATCTGTATCTGTCTTATCTATATATCTTTATTCTCTCTTCCTGAGTCAGTTTGTTTTAGTTCTTGATATATCTGGTTTTATAACATAAAGTGTTGTTTTTTTTTGCCTTATTTTAACTAATGTCTAGTAAAAGCAACCCAACAAAGATAACCACCAAATAACCCAGGGGAATTGCACCCAGTTCATTTTTAATTCACCAAATAGCAATGCTCCACCTGATAAAATCATCTTTCATCAGGCATGTCAGGCTGCCTTCAGCCCCAGTTTGTTTGGAGAAGATTAAATGCAATATTAGGGATTACACAGGAATTAATTACGAGGCTCTTGGACTGACACAGTCCTCCAACAACAGGCAGCGAGCTGACAGCCTTGTTAACAGCCTGCTGGGACCAGCGCTGTGGAGTTGTGAATGGGTGAGGGGAGGGAATGGGAGGGTGCTGTGGAGTAGATGCAGCTCTCCTTTTGCTGGAGAGGCGCACAAACAGGAGCGCAGTCTGATGGAGCGGCTGCAACCTTTTACCACATACGGCACACCACATGTCTGAGTAGTTTTACAGAGAAGAATTCACCTGAACTGTACAAGACTGAGAAAACTTCCCACCAGCCGTCCTTTGCTGAAACTGGGGACAAAGAAACGAGGAGAGGATGGATTCTTTTCAGATGCTTTTTCTGCTGTTGCTCTATGGATGTCTTCCAAAAGTAAGTATTTTTTTAATGTAAACCAAAAAATCTAAATCTTAAAAGCAGCATAAGAATCATGTCACTACTTTAAATTTGATTATTACATTTATTTAATACATAAAAGGGATTAAATTACATTGTAATGATTCATGTATACAAGATCAGGTTTTAATCACTTGGGTTCAAAATTCACTTCTGTAACTTTTGACATCATAGCTACTTTTTTCTATCATCCTTCTATTTGTTGATGACGCAAAGGAGTCTGGCTTTTTCTGAAACATTTTTTTTTCTTTTTGTCAGAGGATGAGTCAGAACATTTGAAGGTGAAGTTCTCACAATTGTCAACAGATTTCCTCAGTCTTAAGAAGAGAGTGTTGATAATTCAAATAGACAGTCTATACCAAGGCCATGCTGGATAAAAGCGGACATTTATCAACTGACTGGATTGTAAGTCAAAGAAATTGAATGCAATCTAGTTGCTTTTATTCTCTGTCGTTTTTGAGCTCCTGATCAACCTGTACAATATGTGGAATATGAATGCGTTCTCCTAGCAAATGGAGCTTTGATATAAAGTCAGGAAATTTAAGGAATTTGGTATTAGTTTTCTCAAGTTTGGGTGAGTATTGAGAAAGAAAGCAGATTTATGGGAAAAAAAATATTGGTATATCCCAGATCCGTCCGTCTGTCCGTCTATCAACCCATTTCTGTTAAATTGGCATCGGAAAAGACAAAACCAAAACCAGGAAGACTTTTAAAGATCTTAAATTCTTGTTCTTACATGGAAATCTTTGAGTTTCTGTCACACATTACCTTTTAGCAGCACAATGCATCAAGTTTTTTTTGTCATATTTTATTTTGAAATCTTTACTTTAATGAAGCAAAACACAAAAGGTAGGTAGAGGTAAACTGGAAAATGCCTCCTCTGTGTAGCCTAGTGAACTTCAGTCTATACACACTCAAAGCCTAAGTCAAAATCTTACGTTTTATCAGAAATATTTATGTTTACGCTGATCTGTGCACAGCTTCTACACTGCCTGCACGTGGTTCTGGTTCTAGGAGAGGTACATGCTGTTGTTCTAGTTTTCAAAGACTGCCCTAGGACTTTAGTAATAGTTGTGAATGAAGCATGGCATAATTTCCTCCCCAACAGTAGGGCTTTTCTGATTATATGAATAGCAAGAAGACTCTAAAGTTTTCTCCCTCCTCCTCCCTTTGAAAACTTCGAGACCTCTGGCCCACCCTCATTCTCTGTATTAACCAGGATCATCACTTGTTGACATACCTCAGTGTCTCTTAAGGGGGGTCTTTCCCAAAGTTCTCTGCTGTGTCTTTAAAGGAACGCAACCTGACATGTTTCATTAATACAACCAGCAAGTAAATGTAGAGTTGAAACCTGCACAGAAAATCCCCTGAGTGGGCAAAGCTGTGCGTTAGGATCTGAATGCCTCTGTTATTGATTTAATATAAAGGAAATGGGAGGTGAAAGAAGAGGAGGACACAGAGTGAGGGCGGCAAATAACTTGTCCTTCCCTCCGGTTGTAAAAAAGCAAATACCAAAAAGGAGCTATCTAAATAAATGAAGTCCATCCTCATCTAAACTGTTTGTGTTCGAGAGCAGCTGGGTGATTTCCTGTTGTGGTTACAGGATTAGAAACGAGGTACGTTTTAAAGAAAAACATTTTTTTTTTACACGACTCCTTAAAATTTTACAGCTGCAGCCTAACAGGATATGTCATAGTTAAAGAGTTTCCCTTTTAAAGCAACAGAAACAAAAAACGTTGAATACCTTCAAGCTTAATTGAAAGAGAATTGTTTAGAAAGTACAAAGAGGTTTCCTTTTATCAGTTCATTAAAAAAGGTTATGAAACTAGATTTTCAAATCAACATAGAAAGCTAAAACTATGCAGTCATCAATCAGGATGGAGATAACATCAGCTCTCTGGAAACAGATGGATGTTGGACACGAATGAGACGGGAAGCGTGGGCATCAATCTCAATTGTAAAAAGTTGTTAAATAAAACCCGATGACTATTATTAATGAGCCTATTTACTTTAACATGAACAGCATGTGGCCCGTTTTCTGAGATTTGCAGAATCCAAATGCCATTTTACCATTTGTCGACCTTTACATTTTATGATTTTCACTGAGGAATTATTTTCCACAAAACTGTAACCTTTTCCAATCCCAGCATAGTAGAACATCCAGAATTCTCTATCTCCTGCAGCATTGCTGCAGACTAACACACGCTGCTCTCCAGAGGTGAATAATCCAGGTCCAGAAAGTGAAAAGCCTATACAGAGATCAGTTCCAACTATCTGCATTTCGAGCTCCACACCACTGATCTCTATTTATTCACCGGATTGCTGATAGCTCATTGGTAGTATAGGGTGGAGTGAAGTCACCGGCCGCCATATTGGTACCCCCTCGTTAGAGCAGTCGCAATGTAAACAATATGTGTGCTACAGCATTGAACCACGATGATGTTCTCATTTTCAGGAGGGCTTAGGAGCTTTAAAATATAGATAAATACATTACTTTGACACGCACTTCCACTTATATGAAGTCAATGAAGTCTATAAATCATGATATATATTATATTGTAAAAATCCATCCCAACAAAATCAATGGCAATGGCAAAAGGGCTAAATTGATGATGTACATGTAATATACATGTAATGATGACATTGCTGTGGTAATTACATATAATTTCAAGATTTTACATCAAGACTGAATTACAAGTAGATGTCTTTTAATGCTATAGTATTTTTCTATTTTCAAATTATGTATGCATGATGCCATTTTCTTTAATACTGTGTGCATTAGATTTTAAATCATATACAGATCTAAAATACAGCTAAATTAATGAACAAATTTAATAAC